AAATGATATTTCATAATGAGGAAGCCCAGGCTTGGGGACCCAAAGCCTGCTGAATACCAAAACTTGTCTTTTATGCCTTTTACGTTGTGTATTCTCCTATAAAGAGGGTGGACAAAGTGTCTGTCCATGTGAAGATATCACCTTTTCATTCTTTTCAAGGAAATTATATGGGAAAGGCCTATAAAAACACAAGGTTCCACATACACACTGGAATGGACAGAAACATCACATGTGGCAAAGATATGGAACAAATGGAATTCTCACATACTGCTGGTGGGAGGGTACACCAACACAACCATTTTGGAAAACAGTTTGGCAGTATCTACTAATGCGGAACATATGCATACCCTCTGGTTCAGCCATTCCCCTCTTAGGTGTACCCAACAGAGATGTAAATATGTGCTCATCAAAACACAAAAATGCTCACAATAGCACTATTTATAAAAGAACTGGAAACTACTCAAAGGTTCACTAATACTAGAATGGATAAACAAATTGCAGTTATACTATTTAGCCATGAGAATGAATGGCTTAAAAGTACATCCAATAGTATACAAAAGGTTACATAAAAGCACCTAGAAACAACAGTAGATATTGTATGACTCCATTTACGTAAAGTTCAAAAACAGGCAAAATTAATTTATGATACTGGATGTCAAGACACTGGTTTCCCTTGTTGATAGGGGTAGTGACCAGAAAGGACCACAGAGAGGATTTCTGGGGTGCTGGTAATGTTCTGTTTCCTCATCTAGGTGTGTTCCATTTGTGATGATTGAGTTGTACACTTTTAAAAAATTTTTTTATTTTTTGAGACAGCGTCTCACTGTGTTGCCCAGGCTGGGGTACAGTGGTGCAATCACAGCTCACTGCAGCCCCAATCTTCTGGGTTCAAGCGATCCTCCCACCTGAGGCTCTTGAGTAGCTCAGACTACAGGAGCACGTAACCATGTCCAGCTAATTAAAAAAATTCTTTTTGTAGAGACGGGGTCCCACTATGTTGCCCAGGCTGGTCTCAAACTCCTGGACTCAAGTGATCCTCCTGCCTCAGCCTCCCAAAATGCTGGGATTACAGGTGTAAGCCACTGCACTCAGCCTGAGTTGCATACTTACGTCTGCACACTTTTCCATATATACGTTATACATTAGGAAAAAAGTTCAAACAACAAACAACAAAATCTGTAAGATTCCAGAAAAGGGCAGTTCCCTGGATAATCTGAAGAAAGACCTATATGCATCACTTGCCAACATTTACAAACTATCTACTCTGCCAGGTGTCACAATAGAGAATAGCAAAAGCATAGATAACTCCCTTCCAAGGGGACTTGAGGTCAAGTAAGAAGAGTCTACTAAACAGACTATTCTATTTTTAAGAGAAGAGCAATCAAGAAAGAACATCCCATTATCAATTTATAATTACTTCCAAATCCCAATACAGAACACAACCTATTAACACCATTTAAAAAAGTGAAGTTTATAAAACCATGAGCTGTTCTAATTATTTGCTGAGATTCACAAAGAATTGAGAAAGAAACATTAGGCTGACCAACGATACTATACATTTGTTCTTCGTTCCCAAAGACTCTGATTTCAGTCTGAAATCTTTAAGTCTAAGAAATATGGGACAGGGTCCTTAATGAGCAATTTCCCAACACAATGACTTTGGCATCTATTTATTTGGGGGTTAGTTTAATAAACAAAACCAAACCAAAAACCTTGGTGTTTAAATCAGGAACAAACCAGGAATAGATACCGGATGTGCAGTTACCCTTTGCCAACCTATGTATCCTTGACCTAGACCTCAGTAGAGTAAGAGTCCATAGGCCAACCGTCCTGAGTCTTACCAGCATATTATGTGTCTCTCTGAGCCTCAGTTTTCTTATCTCGATGTGCAAAAATCATCTTAGCTACTCATGAAATAACTTGAGGGAAAAAAAAAGATTTATCAGGAAGCACTGATATCACCTGAAAACATCTAGCACTATAATTTTTGTAACATAATTTTTGTAACATAATTTTAAATCTTCACCTCTAAATTACATGAAACTGCTTTTTAAAAGACAATAGGGAATGGCTATTATGGGTCAGGTGCTTTACATTATCACTATCTTCCCCAATAATCTCATTTCAATCAGTAAAGACCCTGAAGGTCTGCAGGGTTAATTAAATAACTTGGACAAAGCCTCAGAACTAGTCACCCTGAACTGGAAAAGCTAGGAAAAAGCCCAGGGCTGTCCTTCCTCAACACCTGGGTGGTAAATGTGTGGCAAGCCCTGGATCCCTCTGGCACAAGGCAAAAATCACAGATAAAGGGAGACACTCTTTTTTGCTGCTCCTGGATGTAGCCTCAAAATCCCTCTCAGGAAAGATCTCTGGGATACATGAAGGGAAGAAAGAAAAAATGCAAAACAGAGCATGCAGTAGCTAATGTTTGTGTAAGAAGGAATGGGGATAAGCATATACAGTCTCATATACTTGTATAAAGACACTTTGCAAATTTACACAAGAAAGTACTAATAGTGACTACCTATGGGGAAGACAAAGGGAGAAGAGAATAGGGTATTTGGGGACAAGGTGCTTTAATATTTCAATCATACAACCACACTGCATATATATACATATTTATATTTTGAGATGGAGTCTCGCTTTGTCGTCAGGCTGGAGTGCAGTGGCGGGATTTCAGCTCACTGCAACCTCTGACTCCCCTGGTTCAAGCGATTCTCCTGCCTCAGCCTCCCGAGTACCTGGGATTACAGGCACATGCCACCATGCCCAGCTAATTGTTGTATTTTTAGTAGAGACCAGGTTTCACCATGTTGGCCAGGAAGGCCTCGATTTCCTGACCTTGTGATCCGCCCTCCTTGGCCTCCCAAAATGCTGGGATTACAGGCGTGAACCACCACACCTGGCCACACTGCTTATATTTTTAAATTTTAAAAAGGGAAAAAAATCTCAACTTAGCATTATTGCCAGTCAATTAACACTGGCAATTAAGAAAAGGGCTACTTAACATAACCATTCTAAAATATACTGTTTCAATATATCCCTAATACTTCAGCTAGCATGAAGTTAGCTACAGTCAAATGATTCACTCAACAAATATTTCCTGAGCATCTACAGTGTTTCAGGGACTCTTCCAGGCACTGGAGATAAAGGAATAAACAAAACAAAGATCCTTATCTTCAATAAGCTTACATTCTAATGGGAGAAAGAGACAATATAAAGACATAAAACATATACTATGGCACACAGAAGGATATGCCAAAAAGAAAAATACAGCAAGAGAAGGGGATATGCAAAGTGTTGAATAAGAAGGGGTTGATTTGGATTTCAGGGCCTTGGAAGGTCTGAGATGGCACTGCGTAAATATTTGAAGGAAGTGAGAGAGACTGCCATGCAGTCCTTTGGGGGAAGAGCATTCCTGGCAGAAGCAACAGGAAGCACAGAGGACCAGAGGCAGAAGCAGGGCTACCAGATTTGCTGAAGCAACCTGTAAGGAGCCCGTTCAGCTGGCGCAGCAAGAGCAATGGGAAAAGCAGCACAAGATGAGCTTGGAGAGGCAACAAGACTAGGTCTGTAGGGACCCACATGTCAAAGTGAAGACTTTGGTTTTCATTCTGTATGAGATGAGAGTCACTGAAGGGTTCTGAGCAGAGAAGTGACACAATCTAACCTGTCCTTTAAGTTGTGTTCTTGCTGTTGTGTTGAGACTGTAGCAGCGTGCAACAGCAAAAGCACAAAGACCAGAGTGGTCAGCAGCCTCTAAGATGGCCCCAATAACTCCCACCTCCTGGTAGTCAAGCCCTTGCATAATCTTCTCCCCTGGAGTGTAGGCTAGATTTAGTGACTTACTTCTGACCAACAGAGGTGGGATACTACTTTTAAGTTACAGAAAGATGATAGTTTCTGTCTTGGGGGCTCTTTAGCTCTCCCTCGGACCCCTTCCCTCTTGTTCTAGGGGAAGCAAGCTATCATGCTGTTGAGCAGCACAATATAGAGGCTCATTTGAAAAGAAAATGATGTCTGCAGCCAAGAGTCAGAGAGGACTTAAGGTTTGCCAACAGCCATATGAATGACCTTGCGAGTAGATGCCTCTTGCATCTAGCCTTGAAATGAGTGCAGCCTTGGCCAATACCCTGATTGCGCCTAGAGACCCTGAGCCAGAAATAACCACTTGTTTTCAACAAACCAGGTCTGGAGTAATCTGTTACAGGGCAATAACAACAAACAGTTAGGAGGCCAATTCAATAATCCAAGCAAGAGATGACAGTGATTTGTACCAGAGTGTTAAAAATGGAGGCAGTGAGAAGTGGTTGGATTCTGGGTATATTTTAAGGCAGGGTTAACTGGATTTGTCAACATGTGAAAGAGACCGGGTGTGAAATGGGCAAGATGGAGAGGACAAAAGTGAGGCTGAGGTGTCTGATTTGAGCAAGTGAAAAACTGGAACTGCCATTTATAAAGATAGGGAACTCTGTGAGAAGAGAAGGAGGATAGGGAAGGAGTTGCTATCATGACTCAATTCTGGACATACTTAACCTGTGATGGCAACGAGACATACAAGCAGTGCCAAGAAGGCAACTAGATAAATTAACACTGGCTAGATAAATTAACTAGATAAATTAGCACTAAGGTTCAAGGCTGCAGGCGTAAATCTGAAACTCTTTGACATAGAGATGATAGGTATTTAAAGCCCCAAGCCCAGATGAAATCACAGGACACTGACTGAGAGAGAAACTGAAGAGGTCAAGGACTGAGCCCTGGGACACTCAAACCTATAGAGGTCAGGGAATTTGACGAAAGTTCAGCAAAGGAGACTGAGTAGAAGCAGGCAGACATGTTGGAGGAAGTCCAGGCAAATGTGGCATCCTAAAAGCTAAGTGGAGAAAGTGTTTCAAGAGGAAGACAGTGATCCACTGTGCCAAAAATACTAGTTAAGTGGACAAGCATTCTTTGACTTCATGTTTTTATTAAGAGTAGTTTATCTTTTGCATTCAAGCTACCTCGCTTTCTTGAGTAAAGTCGAGGGCGTCTTCTCCTGATGCCAGCAGTGTGTGCAGAATTCGCTGTTTCACTTGCTCCCACTCGACCAACATTGACTCTCGATGGTACTCCTCAGCCATGCCGAAGGTCTGTCAGAAAGGAACAGAGAACAATGATCCTCAGGAAAAAAAACGAAAACAAAAAAACATGGTTTCTTTTAAGACCCAACAGAAACCTAAAGCCCTCCAGACCGACCACTTCTCCACAGGTAGAGAAAAAGCAATCTACTTTAAAAATTATCTTTAAAGAATTTACTGGCTGAGCGTGGTGGTTTACAACTGTAATCCCAGCATTTTGGGAAGCCAAGGCAGGCAGGTTGCTTGAGCTCAGGTGTTCGAGAGCAGCCTAGGCAACATGGCAAAACCCTCTCTACAAAAAATTAGCTGGGTACAGTGGTGTGCACCTATAGTCCCAGCTACTTGGGAGACTGAGGTGGGAGGATCACTTGAGCCCAGGAAGTCGAGGCTGCAGTGAGCTGTGATCGCAACATGCACTCCCTCCTGGGTGACAGAGCAAAACCCTGTCCCAAAACAAAACAAACTGCACTCCAACCTGGGCAACAGAGCAAGACCTTGTCTCCAAAGAAAAAATTAAATAAACTTGCTGACAACTGCTTGCAACATACCCTATTTCACTGAGTAGCTGGGATTACAGGTGCCCGCCATCATGCCTAACTAATTTTTATATTTTTAGTAGAGATGGGGTTTCACCATGTTGGCCAGGCTGGTCTCAAACTCCTGACCTCAGGTGATCTGCCCACCTCGGCCTCCCAAAGTGCTGGGATTACAGGTGTGAGCCACGGTGCCCAGCTCATATAAACCATTTTAAAGTGTCTAGTTCAGTGGTATTAAGTACATTCTACTGTTGTGCAACCATCACTACCATCTCTTAGCTCCTGGCAACCACCACTCTACTTTCTGTTTTTGTGAATTTGACTACTCAAGATACCTCACATAAATGGAATCATACAGTATTTGTCTTTTTGTGAGTGAAATGGGCCAGAGACAATCAGCATAATGTCCTTAAGAGTTGTAGCAAGTGTCAGAATTTCCTTTCTTTTTAAAGCTGAAAAATATTCCATTGTATGAATATACCATTTTCTTTATCCATTCATTCACTGATGGACACCCGAGTTGCTTCCACTTCTTGGCTTTTGTGAATGATACTATAAACGCGGGTGTACAAATATCCCTGCTTTCAATTCTTCTGGGTATATACTCAGAAGTGGAACTGCATGGTAATTTTATTTTTAATTTTGTGAGGAACCTCCATACTATTTCCATAGAGGCTGTACCACTTCACATTCCTACCTGCAGTGCACAAGGTTTTCAATTTCTCTACATCCTCACCAACACTTAATAACGTTTTTTTCTGGCCACACAAGGTGGCTCATCCCTGTAATCCCTGCACTTTTGGAGGCCAAGGCAGGTAGATCACTTGAGGTCAGGAGTTCAAGACCACCCTGGTCAACATGGTGAAAACCTACTACTACTAAAAATACAAAAATCAGTTGGGTGTGGTGGTGCATGCCTGTAATCCCAGCTACTTGGGAGGCTGTGACATGAGAATCACTTGAACCCAGGAGGCAGAGGTTGCAGTGAGCTGTGATTGCACCACTCCACTCCAGCCTAGGCAACACAGCAAGACTGTCACAGAAAACAAAAACATAAAAACCATATATATATATATATATATATTTTTTTTTTTTTTTCCTCCTGTTTTTGCTTGTAACCATCCTAAAGGGTGTAAAGTGGTATCTCACTGTGGTTTTATGTTCCCCTAATGACTAGTGATGTTGAGCATCTTTCCATGTGTTTACTAATATAAACATCTTTATATAAGCTCTGAAATTAGATCGTATATCATAGCAGTAATTTTTCTTTGTAGCATATAAAATAATGATGGATTATAAAATCAATAGTATCTTACGATATAATAAACATCTAAGAAAAGAAAAAAAAAGTTTCTCCTAGTGTTTTATATTATTATTATTATATATTTTTTTCTGTTGCCCAGGCTGGAGTGCAGTGGAACGATCTCAGCTCACTGCAAACCCCGCCTCCTGAGTTCATGCCATCTTCCCACCTCAGCCTCCCAAGTAGCTAGGATTACAAGCATGCACCACCACACCTGGCTAACTTTTGTATTAAGACTTTTAGTAGAGACAGGGTTTCACCATGTTGGCCAGGCTGGTCTCGAACTCCTGACCTCAAGTGATCCGACCACCTTGGCCTCCCAAAGTGCTGGGATGACAGGCGTGAACCACTGCACTCGGCCCCAGTGATTTTATTTTATTTTTTAAAAAAACACTAATATTTTCATAGAAGGAAGTAAACCAGCAAAAGAAAAATAGCCTTCTGGGATTAAACTGCCTACCAGTCTACTCAAAGTTACTGAAAAGCCACTGTCTACTAGTAGTTGCAGGTAGCTGCCAAAATAAAGGCATTCAGAAGGTAAAGAAAAAAGAAAGGAAATCTGGGGAGGGGGCAGGAGAGGGAATAAGGAAGATGACAAAAAAAAAAAAATCTGAGAATTAAAATAACACAGATATATTGAATTATGACCATTCATAGCCTATTATTCTTCAACTAGCAGACCAGGTTTCCCATCAGCTTAAGCCTTTTCAAAAAGCCATTTCATTTACATTCAGATTGGCATCTAATTAGGCAACAATAAGGGAATGAGTATTAGCAATGCCTGCTTTATTATTGGCAACACAGATAATTTATACTGATAATATTGATATGCATGAGCTTTGGGGAACTGTTAGAAAAATCACATACATATACTCTTCCTACAATTGGGATGTTTCGAATTAGACCAATATTTATTAAAATGTGAAAAAAGGACATCAGACATACATACACACAGACACATGATTAGGAAGAAGGCTGGTGCATTGCTGGACCCTTTTCTAATACATATTCTGCAGACACAGGAGAAACGATAATCACAAACTTTAAAAACAGTCTTCCAACTGGTTTTTTTCTTTTCACTGAGAGTCAGGCAGAATGGACCATTCCAGTCAGCCTGAGCTGAAAAATACCCAGAGAAAAACCTTTGCTTCTTGCTCACACCAGTAAACTTAAACATGAAAGTTATGCATTTTAAATGAAGAGAAGTATGATGGAACATAAAGGTGGGGTGGAGGGGAAGAGATAATTTTCTTAGAAGTTGTCCAGAAAGAACAGACAAGCGTGAGCCACAATTTTGTCTAAAACTTTCCCACATAGTGGTCAAACCAACTGCCTCCTCAGCCTCTAGCCTCTCCCAGCAAGGTCAAATGGAGGACCAGGTGGCAAGAGGATCAGGTAGGGTAGAAGGAGGCAGGGGAAGGTTGATACATTATACAGCCTACGGAGCTGCAACACGAAGTGAGCGCACCACAAAGTGTACTAAGTCTTTTTCTTAAGGACAAGACCTCTGGCCAACAGTGGCAGAGTAGCAAAGGCAATTAAAGAAAACAGACAATGTACCACCCACAGAAACTGCTGAAGAGGACAGTGGAGACAGACTTTCAGCATCAGGTAAGGGTCAGAATGACGACAGTAGGAATTAACCATTCCCTGTTAATTGGGCTGCCTGCCTGTGTGCCAAGAACTCCTGCTTAGTACTTTGAAAGTGCTTTGAAAACTATCAGCTTTCTGGGTTCAAATCCTCAGATGTATCTGAAAGTATGCCAGGCTACTCATTTAGAAACACCCTCATAACCTGAATGAACACTGCTGTAGTTCTATTTACCATTAGTGTGATAAGGAGTTTCAAATAAAAATAAATGCCCCAGGCAGGCAAATTGCTTGAGGTCAGGAGTTTGAGACCAGCCTGGCCAATGAGGTGAAACCCCATCTCTACTAAAATGCAAAAATTAGCTGGGCGTGGTGGCTGACGCCTGTAATCCCAGCTAACTCGGGAGGCTGAGGCAGAATCACTTGAACCCTGGAGATGGAGGTTGCAGTGAGCCGAGATCACACCATTACACTCCAGCCTGGGTGACAGAGCAAGGCCCTGTCTCAAAAAATAAATAAATGATCCAATATCAAAATTCTCTTCCCTTAATTGCATCACCCCCAGCTTATCTTAATTACATTAGAGGTAATGGAACATTCAATCTGTGGGTTAATCAGGGACGATTAGTCACCCATCTGTCCCATTCCAACCTATTCTGTTTATATCCACATCTGAACCACTGAACTAAAGTGCAAAGAAGAATGCTAACTAGAGGAACTAATGAGACAGAATCAACAGAACTGCTCAACTAACAACTAAGAGAAGAGGAGGGCAGTGAGAGTCTAAGGTGAGGTGGGAAGCAGTGTTAAGAAGAAACCCAAGGGAAAAGAAAAAGGATAAACTGGAAGAGTACGGAGAAATCTAAAAATTAAAAGGAAGGCAAAAACAAACCACAAAAAATGACAAAACAGTGGAGAAACTATTATAAATTAAATCTGAATCTTTCAAGTTACTATGTGTGGAAAATATTTCTCTTTGAACACAAGAAAAAAAGCGTGGAAAGAATTGGGCAGCTGAATTAAGAGCAGGTGGGGAGCATTTGAACCCCATTTTCATAAAGGGAAGAGGGCAATATGCTTTGACTTCATACCCGTTTATTACTGCACTGTTGCTGGCTTTTAGAAACACTGCATATGTTCTGATAATGTTGTTCCGTTTTTGCTGGGATGTGCCAAATGGGGAAAGACAGGACACACTTGTGGTTTTGTAGCTTGTTTTCTTGGCATTTCAGCAGGACACTGGCAAGTTATTCAAACACAAAACAGTCACAAAAATACCAGAAAGTTGCTCACTTTTTGTGTGAAAATGATTCTTGCTCAGTGGCAGTTTCCTGGTGTCCAGACAGGTCAAAGGTCTCCCCCGAGGCTGGCTCCCAACACTGGAATGCCTCCCTCACAAACACATATGCACACATTTTGCACTGTGGTATGTCACCTAAATGTTTTGGCTGGCTGCAAATTTAGTCTCAGTATGGCACAATGTTCAGAGACTGCCAATTCCAGAAACACATTCTGCGGGGTAAATGGACTAATAAAGCTTGGTAGCATTCAACAATCCTAATTTAATTTCATTGGTCCTTTACAGCAGGAGAATCAATGTTGGTAACTCACTTAATGTGTGACCAAAAGAAAACCCTTTTAAAAATATTTTCAGATCTGAATCAAGTGAATTTCTCTCTATCTGTGACTAAGTACTATCACCAACAATATAATTAATGAAATTTTGGGAATTTTTTTTATTTTTTTGAGACAGAGTCTCGCTCTGTCACCCTGGCTGGAATGCAGTGGCACGATCTCAGCTCACTGCAACCTTTGCCTCCCAGGTTCAAGCGATTCTCCTGCCTCAGCCCCTTGAGTAGCTGGGACTACAGGTGTGCACCACCACACCTGGCTAATTTTTGTATTTTTAGTAGAGACAGGGTTTTGCCATGTTGGCTGGGCTGGTCTCGAACTCCTGACCTCAAGTGATCCACCTGCCTTGTCCTTCCAAATTGCTGGGATTACAGGCATGAGCCACTGCACATGATGGGAATTTTATTTTGATAATGAAACATATCAGTCATTTAAATAACGAGCCCTATTTCACCTCAGTACTACTAAGACATGTTCACCTTCACAGAATATTTTAATAAAGCACACTGAGAAGCAGCACTTTTTTCACTTTATTATTTTTGAACTACACAACTAATGAATAAATTTCATTGGATATAAGAACTAAATAAGTAAACAGCAAAACAGAGGTCTCACTTCAAGCCTACTCCCTTTGCAGAAAGGGCTACTGCTAGCTGATGGAATGTACCCTGCCAGCCTCCTTCCTGGGGAAAGCTGCACTTCTATAACCAATTCCACAGGACAACTAGCCTTTCTTCTCTCTCACCATAAGGCCCCAAGGGCCCAAAAATCTCTTTCACTATAATGGGATGTTATAGAAAGATTTTGATATTTGGATCCTTGTCAGAAATAAACGAAGATAACTCACATGTTAAACAATCTTTGAGTATCTTGCACGACTGCTTGTTGCAGAATATTGTTGCACATATAATGGCTGCTCTTAGGTGAACTTATTTACCATCTTTTCAAGCATGGAGCTAGTTTTATGTGTGTGTGTGTGTGCGTTTGAACTTGGAGAAATTGTTAATATAAAAGGTGGTCCACTCAATATTGTGTAATAAAAGGAAAATAAGTTGAAGGAAACTGTCAGCGATCACAGCTGCTTTTCTGAACTGCTGATTCAGTAGAAACCACAATACCATTTATACAATAACAATGAAACCAATAATTTTCTGGTCTTTCCATTTTAAGATTAATAGTTAATTGTCCAGTCCAGTGTCTCAGATGCATTGCAGTCACTAAATACATACAGAGTTATAAAGCATGGTATTCTTCTCAAAAAATGGTTCCTGTAGAACTCTCTCTGTAGGAGAGAACGGGGCATGTGAGAGATTCCAGCTTCCAGATCCTACACTACACTCCCCTAGTATATACTGCTGCCCCCAACTGGTTTTGTTTTGTTTTTTTTGAGACAGGATCTCACTCCTCATTCTGTCCCCCAGGACGGAGTGCAGTGGTACAACTCGGCTCACTGCAGCCTCTACCTCCCAGGTTCAAGCAACCCTCCCACAGCCACCGGAGTAGCTGCAACCACAGACGTGTGCCACCATGCTTAGCTAATTTTTTGCATTTTTGTAAAGATGGGGTCTCACTATGTTGCCTAGGCTGATCTTGAATTCCTGGGCTCAAGCGAACCTCCTACATCCGCCTCCCAAAGTGTTAGGATTACAGGTGTGAGCCACCACGCCAACCCTCTTGCCCTCATCTGTATACATCTACATTTTGGTTAATTTTCTTACCCTCTTCCGGGACTCTTCAATGGCAGACAGCAGGGCATTGTCCTTCTCATTCTTCAGGAAGCCCTACAAATGGGGGAAAAATTAACACAACTTAAAACTAACTTTCAAAAAATCAAAAGTATACTGAGAGACAAATGATAACCATGATGGTATCTAGTACGCTACCTACCTCCACCTCACAAAACTCTCCCAACTTGAAAACATCAAAATAGATGACTTTTACAGATGTTTCTTAGTTTCTTCCATTCTGGGAGCATATGATGATTGTTAGAAAGTAAAGTTCCCATGAAACAATAGTGTGGGGTTCTATATTCCGTAAACATGTAAAAAGTGGAAAATCAAGACTGTCCTTCAAAATTCCTAAATGGCTCATATTGCAGATACAGCCTTGGTGATGGAGCTAGTCACAGTTCCTCTAACTGTTCCTTAGTCTATATTTCTCTGTTGGTTTATATTAATTTCTTTCTAACATTGAGGACATCATCATCGCCCATTTGTCTGTGTGCTTTTCGCTTGTTGGCCAACGTCTGGGAAATTCTAAAAATCCTTTCTTTACACATTTCTTCCAGGGTTTTGCCATGTGCTCTGTCTGTTTCAGGTCTGCTCCACTGCTCATTTAATATAGGTAGGGTGAAAAGACAGCCTACAAGGCTAGTTTAATATAAACAGGTTAAATGCCTGCAAAATGCAACTACACAGTAACACAATGGCCAAAAGGATAGGCTTTGAAATTTGGCAGTTTCAAATCCTAGTGTCTCCATTTACTACTAGTAGCAGGACTTTAGCCAGGTCACCCAAACTCCCTAAACCTCAGCTTACTTGTTTGTAAAAAAATAAGATAATGTAATCAAGTTATTGACCCAAGGCTCAATATATGTAGCTCTATTATTAGAATCGATTAGATTTAGATCTGTTGGTGACTTCTATTAACGAAAGAGATGCCCAGGATGATCTCTTTGCTGCTGTTCATTGTCCTTATTTGCTTCAGCCGAGATCCAATAGGAAAAGGGCTGAGACACTATTCTGACAGCCACAGTTGCAGACAGACAGATATATAGACTGCATTTCCCTGCCAACACCTTGCTCTTCATACAAGGGGGCAGTTTCTTTTCCATAGCTTGGGCTGGTTGGGGGCTGAGTAGGAACAAGGAAGATGACCCATCAATTGATATGTAGAGATCAAAGTCTTAGTTGTAATATGAAGAACTCAAGTTACCTTACAAATCAGATCTACCTACACGCCAATGCAAGGTACAAGCATGCCACTACTGGTGCATTTATACATGTCTAAAATCGCTCTGTCACCCAGGCTGGAGTGCAGTGGCACAATCTCGGCTCACTGTAAACTGCCTCCTAAATTCAAGCGATCCTCCTGCTCAGTCTCTCAAGTAGCTGGGATTACAAGCGTGCACCACCACACCCGGCTAGTTTTTGTATTTTTAGTACAGACAGGGTTTCACCATGTTGGCCATGATGAGGTCAACATGTTGGCTCGACCGCAAGTGATCTGCCTCCCAAAGTGCTTGGATTACTGGCATAAGCCACTGCACCCAGCCTTGTGTTTTTGCTTTTTTGGTTTTTTTTTTTGAGACGGAGTCTCGCTCTGTTGCCAGGCTGTAGTGCAGTGGCGCCATCTCGGCTCACTGCAACTTCTGCCTCCTGGGATCAAGCGATTCTCTGGCCTCAGCCTCCCAAGTAGCTGGGACTACAGGCGCATGCCACCATGCCCAGCTAATTTTTGTATTCTTAGTAGAGACGGGATTTCACCATTTTGGCCAGGATGATCTCAATCTCTTGAACTCGTGATCCACCCGCCTTGGCTTCCCAAAGTGCTAGGATTACAGGTGTGAGCCACTGTGCCCAGCTCTGTTTTTGCTTTTTAAAGAAACTTTGGGAAAACGTAATACAAAGAAGAATTTGGCAAAAGCTTTTAAAATGACAAGCTAAATTAAAATACCATCATTTTCTTGCATTGGAAACTTACTGTTACGGTTAGTTTTTGATCATTGTAATTTAACAACTGTAATGTTTTAGTATACAGTCATGCATCACTTAATAACAGGGATACATTCTGAGAAAGCCTCCTACTAGGTGATTTCATCGTTGTATGAACATCATAGAATATACTTACACAAACCTAGATGGTATAGCCTACTACACCAAGCTACATATGGTATAACTTGTTGCTCCCAGGCTACCAACCTGTACAGCACGTTACTGTACTGAATACTACAGGCAATTGTAACATAATGGTAAGTATTTGTGTATCTAATTATAGAAAAGGTACAACAAAAATATGGTATTGTAATCTTATGGGATCACTGTTGTATATTTGGGTCTGTTCTTGACCAAAACATCATTATGTGGCACTTTAGTGTATTCTGTTTAGTCTTTTTAAGAAGGTGGGGGAGGTGGGTTGGGAGGCAGGATAATACTGGGGATGTACATTTAAATAAAACATTACTAATTATAGATTTCCCAAATTCCTTACATATTGGCCTAAGTCTCCCCAACACGTGCTGTCACACCCCAAAACCTGGGCAGTGCACTGGGATGGACAGGGACAATGACCAGGAGCCCAGGAAATAGTTCCCTCTTAAAGACTCCATGGCCAAGCGTGGTGGCTCACGCCTGTAATCTCAGCACTTTGGGAGTCCAAGGTGGGTGGATCACTTGAGGTCAAGAGTTCGAGACCATCCTGGCCAACATGGTGAAACCCTGTCTCTACTAAAACTACAAAAATGAGCCAGCCGTGGTGGCGGGCACCTATAATCCCAGCTACTTGGGAGGCTAAGGCAGGAGAATTGCTTGAACCAGGGAGGCAGAGGTTGCAGTGAGCTGAGATCGCACCACTGCACTTTAGCCTGGGTAACAGAGACTCCATCTCAAAAAATAAAAATAAAAATAAGACTCCTCCAGCATAGCCTCTCAGGCAGCTCTGAGGACACAACAGGAAGACTCTCTAAATACATATACTGATAACTGGGGTGGAATGGGGAATGGCATCGGTCATTTGCCTAATAATGTAATGACATCAATAAACCAGAGCACATGAAGCTAGGAATCCACATGGTCCATTCAGAAGGCTGCGGCAGCTTGTCACCACCTACCTGCTTTTGGCCATCACAGGGGACCCAGACATAAAACAATGGCAGATTTTAATGGGCCTTGTTTGTACCTTTCATAGCAAATGATTATGTCAAGTCAACAAACCTTTAGTATAAATACATTTTCAATAGTGGTCTCCAATGTGGCTAAAGCTAAAGGCTTTAGTGTCACAGTTCATAAACAAAGCTATGAAACTATTATCAATGACTAATGCTCCCAAACAATGAATAGTCATGAATTGTGCTCTGTGGCACCTTTTTGTGGCTGCCTGCCTCTATGCTGCTGACAGTCCAAACAAGCTACGCTTGGGAGTAGTGGGGGAGGGGAGGGGATTACCACTACCTCACAAAGCCTGGTCTAATATTTTCTTTTTGGTTATGGGGAGGGGAGGGACCTGGGTTAAGTCTGATGTTCTGTCACATTCCTTCTCTGGGCTTCCTCTGTTCTTTCCAGTCAATGACTAGCCCATCCCATTCTTTTAATGGCACCCATGTTCATATCTCTCTCTCTCACACACACACATACACACTCTCACACACTTACAACACAAATGCAAAGCAATGACCAGACGCATTTGTTGAAAAGCAAAATAATATTCTGCAAGAAATGCAATTCTCAAATTTCTGAGAGATAAAATTTCAAGTAAGAATGAAACAGAAGAAAAAAAGACATTACTGCTTTGGGATAGATTACTCCAGTCTTTAAAATATTTACTATAAAGCTACATTTTACAACTCTCCATAAATGAAGCATGTGTGTGAGTCAAACCTCACCCACATATAAACAAAGACCATTAACCATTACATACTTCAAAAACTGGACTCTAAGCACAAACTGAGCTCACAAAATAGATTTTGAATTTTAATTTTTCATCCTTTCTAAAATGAAGTGCTAAATAGGTTATACATCATATTTTATTTTAAAAAAACACACTAGTGGTCTGTCTTTTCAAAACAATTTTTTAAGTAACATATATACATATATATATATATATTTATTTATTTATTTTTATTTACTTATTTTTTGAGACGGAGTCTCGTTCTGCCGCACAGGCTAGAGTGCAGTGGCGCGATCTCGGCTCACTGCACCTCCGCCTCCCGGGTTCAAGTCATTCCTCTGCCTCAGCCTCCCGAGTAGCTGGGACTATGGGCATGTGCCATCACGCCCAACTAATTTTTGTATTTTTAGTAGAGACAGGGTGTCACCATATTGGTCAGGCTGGTCGTGAACTCCTGACCTCATGATCTGCCCACCTCAGCCTCCCAAAGTATAAAACAGTAATTTATACACCAGAATACTGCTAGGATCTGTGTGCCATCTAGTGGCAGTTAGTTTCTTTCAAAGAACCCACAACTCAAGGAGAAGTAACAGCCCACTGGAATTAAAGAACTAAAAAGTTAGGCAGAACCATACCTGCCTCAGTCCAGGTGCCCCACAGATCTCCTGACTTCCCTTTCCTACCCACGTGTTTCCTTTCCCTCCAAACTCCTCCTCCTGTGAGACGCCTCTCATGCCTCACCCAGGAGATGTACGTGTATAGCTGATGGGAAAATGAGTTCTCTGGAGAAGGGAGCTGGAACTTGAAGGATGAACTGGCTCCCTGCCACTGAGATGCCCCCTGGGCACAGAAAAGGCCCAACAGTTCACCTCCTGCTGGTAGATGCCAGCATCTAATGACGACCCTCAGAACTCCCCATCACTGCTATCCCTTCATTTCCATCAACAAGCACTTATAATTGCTCACAGTCCCCCATCTGATCCTTCTGCTGTGGGTCAGCTCAATAAAGAACACCCCCCAAAACATCTGCAGGCCAGCTAGGTAAACTAACTCCTCCTGACTTCCCCATCTGTGTACTGCTCCTCACTGCCAGTGTGCTGAAACAGACCCTTGTCTAACTGGCTCCTCAAATGTGTTTTGGTTTTCAGCTTTCTGTAACACATAACAGCCACCATTC